ACACACATGAAGCTTCTGCCACTTCTAAGCCTAATATCCAATGTCAATGCTACTGTAGCTCAGTTGTGGAAAATTGAAGCTCAAAATCCGAATTTATGAAGTTCATTCTTTGGTGCGATCCAGAATTTATACTTTGTTCCACGCTCGTGTCAAGACATGACATGGCACGACAATCCAATCAGGAAACTCGGTGAGAGGGCTAAGAATGTTCAAATTGAAAAACAAGGTAGGGAAACATGTAGCAACTTGAAACCTTAATTAACCAAAACACCTTATAACATTCCTCTCCACTTAGAAAAGTAAAAGATTAAGGACACTCTCAAGCCTGATTAATGGTAGTAGTAAATATGATGTTTGTTATGATAGCAATAACGATGAAACGTCTTTCCTGTGCATGAAAGTTGACAAAATTTTCGGTCGAAATCATTGCAATAAGTAGCTAGACATTGTTTTATACATAACGAACGAATTCAAGCCTCATGAACCATAAACTGAAGTGGCCGCAATTTTTGCGTGTTAGCCTAAACTCCTCGGATAAATAAAATCATCACACGCGTAAACGAACCAGTTAAACCGTGATAGTTTATTTTCCTTCTAAATTGCATCATCTCAAATCAGCCAAGTGTTACCAGGCATTTTGATACACGGGAGGGAGAGAAATAGTTCTTACAATAACCTACACCCACTCTAGCGGGAGGTAGACAAACTCTGTGATTCCTTATCTTTCATTTCAGTGATGCTGAATGTTGCATCTTCCAAACCCGCCTGATTCGCGTCTAATCAAGCTACATTGCGTTCTCTCTCATTACCTCGGTGAGTGTATGTGGGCGTAAGAGCTTACTGACCATAAGTATTAAAATTATTTTTGTAAAGCACAACCCAAGCACTTTTGTGCGACTCGTGCTCATGAATAAATTATGTGGTTTATACTTTAATCAAAATAAAAACTTTGGTGAAGGTTCAAAGCAAGGCCAGTGAGTAAAGCCAGTCGTGTGTACTGGTGAAAGCAACCCTAGCACTTGTTTTGTAGATGCAGAAACTTAGAAGTAAAAGCTACATTTGAGGCTCAGAGGGTTCTTGAATTATAAGACTCATAAGAAGAATGAGAAATAATCGGAGAAAACTAAGGCATTCCAAAAACTCACTAAAAAGTAAACAACATGACTAAGCTTTAGGGACTTGCATTTAGCGTTATGATATTAAAAATTAGGGATTTATTGCGACAGCTTAATCTTGCGTAATCTCTGACGTGGGCATGAAGGGGACCTTCGTAAACCGGGACCTGGGTAAATCACAGTGTTGTCAGAGACGACCACAAAGTTTTGAAAGCCTTTAAAGGGCATCACGGATGAACCTTTTTCACAAAATGTTTCTTCATTAGAATGGAATTTTTTCTCTTTTGACCTATCGAGTTCTATTTTGCCTCGAAGTCCTCTCTTTACAACTAATAAATACATGTCGTTATCAAATATTTACGCTCATTTGTGTCTTATATCAGATGTAGTGAAGCATGTATGCATGCAAGCAATATTTCGTGCCCAATAGTATTAGACACTATAAACCAATTTACAAAAGAAATATTCATCTAAAATGAACAACATTTGAGTGAATAGCTTCTGTGAATTCTCAATAATCTAGTACTTAGTACGCTGAGTACTCTGCTCGTAAACTACTTCATCATTTCCCCGAATGAAAATTTTAATACTTGGATGCTGATTTTGCTCAATATTTTTTCTGTGAATATTTGAAAGAGCGCTTCGTTGCCTTACGGAATAGTTTCCAAGCTAGATATTCCATTTGATAACTACGTGACTTTCATGTTCGTGTTCTATTTGTTTTTTTCGTTTATCTTATCCATAATCTGCATTGCACTTGAGCCTATTGTAGCTTTTAATTGAATCAAGCTTTATACCACGAAATTACTTTTGTTTTCTTATTAGATAAATGAAGCAAAAGGCAAGTGAGAATAGATTGTTAAGCAGAAAAAATAAATAAGTACGAAGAAGACGAAGTTGTTTTACAAAGATGTATTTGAAACAAGTGAGGCGAGATATTTTTTTTTCGAAATCGGTCCCATTGAGACCATTGTGTATTTTGAGTTACAGTAAAGCAATATATGATGGAAAAATTTCCCTGATGGGTTAAATTCGAGTATTAGGTTAGTTTAAAATATGTAAGATATGGCAGTTGTAGTATTTTGTAACCTAATGGGTTGAAAGTGAGAAGTGCAAGAAAGTGGATTATCCAGCGCTAAAAAAGACTAAAGCTTTATGCCACGTAGGTTCTTTGAAATCGCGGGGTTACACAAACCTTAGTTGAAGAATGAGAAAAGTAAGAGTGTTCAGTAACACTTAACAAAGGCCCTTTCCAAAGGAACGAAATTTAAACAAGATCAATTTTGCTAATTTTATCGTTTTTCCTTCTTTCATTGTAATTAAGAAATATTTCCATGTTGGGTGTTTCAGTTACAAATGCAATATTAGACGGAAGGCGAAAAATATTAAGGTTTGAAGCGGCACTTACCCATTTTTTTTTTATAATTTCATTTGGTCTTGTGAAAAGGTGAAAAACAAAAAGGTGAAAGAAGGTCTCAAGATTCTTCTTAATTGGAAAATGGACATGGAAATCCGGGAGATCGTTTCCGTTGTAAGGAAATGATTAGCTTACATGTAAGAGGACATATCACGGCACGTACGTACCTACTTTGATGGTTTTCGCCGATCGGTAAGCAATATTATGGCTGCATTCATCTTAATGGATACGGTAGACCTTCAAGGGTCAATTTTATATCTTTATCTATATATTTTTTTTCACATTTAACTAAGCATTTCCATTTCAACCACAATTTCCAACAAAAATATTTGTTAATAATATTTGTGAAATAATATATGTTTTTTTTTTTAATTTCAATCACACAAACATCTCTTCATTTCAATCGAACGAGGTGATCTTTGCCCACGGTCTGCGTAAATAACCAGACTGTAGATGGGAACAAATGAAAAGGAGAAGATAGTTTCGCACAACGTAATGGTTCTTCTGAGGGTCTCCAGAGACCCGAGACTCTACAAAATGCCTCTGTGTTTCTATAGCGAGCATAACTTAGCATGTGGCCACTCAAAAGTGTCAACCGCTAAGGTCAACTACAAAAGTCAATTTTTTAGATGACTTAATTGGATTACCTTGAAAATAAGCCCGAAGACCCCCGCGTTACCAACCAAAACCCCATAAGAGGGAATTTCTGTCTTTCATTAAAAGAAAAGAAAAATTCCGGAAAAAAAAAAAGAACCCAATGGGAACAAAAAAAATTCCCACGTAGTCTCTGATATCAATCCTTACGATTGACAAAAGGGCATGTCATGATACTTTTCAAGAAAGAAAAGAATGACGACTAGAACCACTGTTAAGTAAGTTTCTAGTACCTCCTTTTTCGTCACGTTTCCGTCCACACTTGGAGCAAAGTAAGTGATGATTCATCTAACGTTTCATATCCGTAGTTGTGGTCATAAGCAGTCAGAATCTCCCTCAAGCCATCTATGGTTTAATACTTGAACGTCTCAGTTTTTTTAGTATCCTCGCCATCCGTAGTATAGACTGTAGAATGTTGTCCATCGTGCTGAAGTATCGATGTGGCCACTAACAATTTTATGACGTCCAGGCACTTCTGATAGTTACAGCTTGGTTTACAGTCAAGCATAACATATTTACACCTATCGATTTTCAGTTCAACAACTCAATTTTAAACTCTTGGAAGGACATTATGTTCCTTAATATTTGCGTCTTAACATACTTGGTAGCATTTAACACTACGTGAGACTTGTAAAGCAAGCAAGCAAGGCCAATCATGTATACGGATGATAGTTACTCTATAAGAATTAAGCCTTGTTACCAGTCAAGGACAGAAACTCAGAGAAAAAAAATATGGCTTAGAGTGCTTTTGAATTATAAAACTTGCATGAAGATTACAACAAACAAGAAACAAAAAATGGAAAAAAAAGGGTAAACATTAATTATTCCAAAAACCCGCTGATTAAAAGTACACAGGATGATTAATTTAGGGCACGTCAGTTACGTTTCAGATACCGATATCAAGGACATGATATTCATAATTGGGAAATTCATTGTGACGGCGAAATCTCTCGCCAAAGTACTTCACGACATAAGATATCGTTTAAGTAGCCGATAAATATCGCAATCGGAAATCTTAGGTAAACCGCGTGATTATCAGATCGACTTAAAAGCTTATTTTAATTATTTTTCCTGCAATTTTTTCACCACTAGAATGTATCTTTTCACCTTTCAAATAATATTTCCCCATTTACCTCTCTTTACATAACTGATAAAATAGTATAGTTATCAAATAGATTAGGTCATTTTGTGAATTGTATTTGCTACATTGCAGCATGTTAAAATATCTCATATCCTACAGAAAAAAACAATTCTGAAGACTGAACGCTGCTTTGTGTCATTTCAACAATAATGCATTTCATTTAAAAATAGATTGCTGCCTTCGTGGAGGGAACATCGTGCATTTGATACCGCCGCACACAATGGACCCTTTCTCGATTACACGTTAGTGCCTCAATTACTGGGTAATAAAATAGGAATGTGTTCTGTACGTGAACCAGTTCCATCACCCTGCTGGTATCGCTGAAGTTTGATTGCTGATTCTAATCAAGGTATCTTATACACATTTGAATGAACTTTCCATCTCTGTAGGAACCAATTTCCCAGCTATATTACTCTGTTTGAAAAATACCTCACAATCATGTTCACATGTTTCGTTTCTATTTTTATCTCTCCTTTTTTATTATTTCTTCTTCTTCTTTTTCCTCTTCTTCTTCTTCTTTTCATTTTTTGTTTTTACTTCAGTCTTAATGTGTATTGCATTTCAACCAATTATAGCCTCGAGTTGCCACAAAATGACTTCTGATTCCTTGAGTTCTACTTTGCTGCTCTCTGCACTCCTCTTGACGACAAAACTGTTAACGCATGCAACCCCGATGGGTAGCCACAACGATACTGGAAACTTCCTGAACGACGTGCTGCGACAAGTTTCTCAAGTTCAACTTGAAGTAAATATTCTCAAGGGAACAAGAGCGTCAATAAAAAGTAAGTAGATAGAGACTACCTGTTTCCAAATGTTCGAAACTTCTAACAACCAAAAAATGTTACTAATAGCTAGTATCTTTCAAAATTCATGGCGAGGAGATGCCTAGATTCGACTGAAAAGGAACAACACTTTTTTGTATCATCTCTCTAAGATAGCCCGTAGTACCACGGAGATTTTTTTTTCTTATTCACAAGGATGTAAATCTCAGCCGGCAGAAATAACTGCGTCTTTTCTTACTTTAGCCAAGGACTGTGCTGACGTATACAATTCTGGAGGAAGAATCAGCGGTGTTTACACAATCGACCCTCTTGATGGTTTAGGCGCCTTCGATGTATTTTGCGACCAGAGCACAGCTGGTGGAGGATGGACAGTGTTTCAGAAGAGAATGAATGGCTACATGGATTTCAATCGCACCTGGGAAGAGTACAAACATGGTTTTGGAAATTTCATCACTCAAGAATTTTGGCTTCACAAGATCCACCGCTTAACAAGAAAGGAGATAGGAAACAGACTTAGGATAGAACTTGGAATAACTAATAACAAGCCCATTTACGCTGAGCATGCATGGTTTCGAACTGGAAACGAGAGTACTATGTACCAGCTGAACCTCAGCAATCTTTCAAGTAAGTCACTTTCCTTGGTTTAGCGACCAGTCGTTCTTTATCGCCAGAGGGGTCATCGAAGGCTTTCGGTTTTTTCAAAATAGAATTTACCTAATCCCCCCATTTGACTCTGTATAATTCTAATGATCACCTCTCGTTGGCAGTTGCAATATTCATGACATACCAGCCCCCTTCCCCTTCTCTGCTGGAGGTATATGTTTTACTCCCGAGTACTTTACGCGTCTTATTATAGCGTTATTTAATGGACGAGAAAAACAATCGTAGAGAAAGTTATTTTTGCAACTACGTGAAAAATAAGCTTATTCAAATAAAAGTTTAACTTTAGATGCGTGTTTCTACGTTATACCGATGCAATATGAATAAGTTTCTTCATCAAAGAACCGTAACATGCGTAGCCAGGCTCCCAAAGGAGGGAAGAGGGGAGGAGAGAGGAGATGACTAGGATAAAAGAAGCACTCAACATTCAGTTGTACTCCCCTCATACTCTATTAGGGACGCCTGATACCTGAAAACCATTATATTTATCCAAATCCAGCACCTCCTTAATAAGGAATGGTCCCTAAGTCATCTCATCGCCATCTTTGATTTTATTGCCCTTACACATAACTTATATTCATCAACACTATTTTTTTAGTTATTATTAGTATTATTATTCATCGTTGCACAATAACAACATTACAATATATCACGAGAAATTTTATTTCATTACAATATTAAGAAAAAGGAGAGAAAAAATTACATCAATGAGAAAATATAAGGGGCACTGACAACACAACTAAGCAAGGAAATTAATGAAGAAAGAGGATCTCCACTGCCTTAAATTACTTTTAAAAGTGTTTAGATACTCCTTTATTATAAATTATGCAATTTTTGGTAAACTATATGTTATGAAACGATAGATTAAATGTTTCGATAAAGAAAATTTGTCAATTAGCAGTTTAGAGGAACGTACGTGTAATAGATTTTGAAAGTAAACTAGACATCCTGACTGTAAGACTTCCTCAAATGTGCCGGGGGCCTGGAAAGAGGCAGAAAGAAGACAGGATAGGTGGGAGGATCCTATATCAGTTACTATTATACGATATTTAGGAGCGAGAGTGAAGGGTTCCATTTCTTCGAAATTGTATTAAGATTGTTCGATTCTATTCGGAAATGAGATTTATGTGGCAAAAGGAAGCTTGCTAAAAGAGGAATGTTATTATTTGCTCTGCAACTCCGTATGTGGTGTCTCACTGAAAGAAAACAAAAATTACGCTTAGAGGTGTCCGGCCTCATGCCTAGATATATGGGGTAGTGTGTCGATCTTAAGATGCTTAAGTTTTTTAGACACGTTTTCCCAAAATACTGCGATTTTCGAACGGTCCCAAAAGAGGTGGATAAGGTTTTCTAAATGGTTTTTGGCAAAAAGAGCAGGTCGGGTCTTGTTTTATATTAATTTTTGTCAGGAGAAGGTTCGTCGTAGAGCTCTGTGTAGGATTCTGTAACGGAAGCTTATCATCACTCTGCGCAATGAATAAATTGTACCAGTGCAATACAATTTTTACTCAATGCCGAAGCATACGACCGGTAATTGGAGGGCTGAGGTTGAAAATATAACAACTCACATTTATCTTCAAAAATCTAAAGTGACACAATGCCTCTCAGTATTTTCATAATAAGATAAACATGGTCCTTGAGGATTCATTAATTATGTCAAAATTATTTAGTTGTAGTAAACATTTTTTTGTCTCGTCTTTCAACAGATGCGACTGTCAGTTTTGATTCGCTTCGTTTCCATAGGAATTTCTCTTTTGGCACTTGGGATAGAGACCCTGCTGACGGCAAGTGCAAGACAGGCGGAGGAGGCTGGTGGTACGGTGATAGATGTGTGGTAACGTCAAACCTTAACGGTTTTTACCCAAGTCGTGGAAAGGAAACTCACTTGAGCCTCATCTACTGGGCGTTTTTAGGAAGCACTGCTAAAGCCAGTGTCCCTGCAAACTCTGAAATGAAAATCAGACCGGTGAAATTTAAATAGAGTTCTCTTACCAATCATTCCTTAGAACCCTTATTTACAAGATGGGTGAAAGTAAGAGAGAAGTAAGAGTAGATAGATAAATAGGGTTATAAATAAATAGAAGGATATATAGATACTTTGATTCGTAAAAATAATTACATTTCTATTAGTGTTAGAAGTAGTTTCCTAACACTCGTCGTTCAGTTGACTATTTCTTTTATTCTCTCTTTTATTACGCAAGTTAATACAACGGGGACTAGCTCTGGTTTAACAAGGAAAGTGTGGGTCACCGTAAAGGTGACGCTTACTAAGCTGTCAATCTTTAACCTTCGTCATGCTTTTACACTTAACTAACGAATCACGCTAAGCTGCGCAGAGCGGAGTTCGCATACAAAGTACGTACCTTCGCGATGTTTACACTTTACAAAATGACTTTCTACCTTAAATTTCTTAGTCTTACAGTCAAGGTCGGATGAAACAAAAACAAGATTGGTAATGTAACAATTATAATAAACTTACTTACAGAATTAGAATCATACTTGAAAAGATATCTTAAGAGGAAATAGTCTTTGAAGGCTTTTACAAAACAACAGAATAAACAGAAAATTCGGAAAAGAAAGGGTGTACTCAAGGTACCGCCCCTAAAAGAGTTACGTGCTATTCGTATAAATTACCTGACTATAAATTTAGTGCGGAAGATGAAAACTGACAACATGTTTACACCTTAAGACACCTTCAAGGAAAAGAGGTATCGAGCGTGCTAAATTCTACCTGTAAGATAGACCGCCTAAAGGAATAAGAAATGATCAACTGACTTATTACAATTTTTACTGAATGGCTTTTGCTAATATATCATTTCCATTAATTTTTCACGTTCAAATAAGTTAAAAAACACCTATAATGAAAATTCTTGCTACATGCCAATTTTGTCTTTTAACATTAGCTGAGGTGGGATATCTTATCAAATTAGGTCTCACTGAAACAACGACAGAATTTAAGTTACACAAAGCATTTATCTTGGAAAACTCGCTCTGTGTATGTTCATTGGAACAAGTATGTTTAACAAGTATACTATGCAAAATAGACTTAATTTAACAAATTGGAAAACCTCGACTGTGCCCTGTTCTGTTGTAAAGCACGCAGGAAGCGCCTAGAGGACGAAAGAAGTGCAGTATTACTGCGTCAGTGAATGACAATTAACTCGTTTGAAAATGTAAATTGTCCACCGTATCAGGTTTCTAAGCTGAAGTTCCAAGCGTTAGGTCTTTGTCCGAGCATTTGATTGTTTTACCTTGTTCTCTAATTGGCGCTACTTCATCCATTTATTTATCCACAACCCATGAGTGTACACCCTATGTTAAACGTGCCTGCATTTGATGAGTCAGGGAAACTTCGGTGGGTAACAAAATACAAATAATAATAATAACAATAATAATAATAATAATAATAATAATAAAATTTAAAAATTATTAAACGCTCCATGCTCTCGTTAATAAGACGAGTCGCAATAACTAAAGTCTTCAGTTTTATTTTACAATCTGATGAGAGAGAGGATCTGGATAGGTTAACATATGGCCCTTCAGTACACAGAAAGAAAGTTGGCATTTAGGTAAGTTTTTGGTTGTCTATCATCCCGTTTGGGTTGTTGGAAGACACTTTTTGCCCTAACTTAACAAAATTCTATTCTATTCTATTTATTCGAATAAAGCTTTGTTTTTACATTAAGATTTTATCACATTAGTGTTAGCCTTGGCATAAGTTTTGTTCCTTGAGTTGGTATATATTGATATCTATTCAGAAATGCTTTGGGAACCTCATTAGTCGTTCGTAAAATTGTGAGATGACTGGTTTGCTCAACCAGTGCCTCTAAAATGTTTTAGTTCAAATTGAACCTTTTCGAATTTGTTTTATCACCAGGTTTCTTTCGACAACGCCTTAATCGTGTAATTTTGATATCTCGGAGCTCAATTTTATTCACATTCAATCCGGTATAGTAAAAATTTTATTATTCTTCACCTGCCACTATTACCGTTTTCCAACGGTTGTAGCTTTGAGGCCGTTGTCTTCTTTTCAGGTTCAAGTTAGAAAAAAAAAGTTATTAAATGAAAAACAAAGCTGCATACCATGAACGAAGTACAATTAGATAAATACTCTCCGTTTGATGTGAAATTCTGATTCCTTTTTTTATTTTATTTTATTTTTTTTTTCTGTAGCACTTTTCATGAATGACATATTTTGACCCTCACGTTTGGGAAGATCTTTCACAACAACAAAAATTAAAAAAAGAGTCAGAACAAAAAAATTCACCATCCATCGAAAAACGTGACTTTTTAAAATTTTTTTGCAACAAGGCCGTACAAGTGCAACAGGGTCGGACTAATTTTCCCGGACCAGCTCACTTCTACCCTTCTGGCCCTATACACTTAAGCTTTCACCATTTTTTTTTCTTTAATTTTTTTTTAATTATTATTGGATTGCGCGAGCGGAGCCGGAGGTGATATGACCATCGTGTATTGATTCAGTTGCCTTTTGAGTGAACCAACCCACTCGTCAACTGGTATATCGAAGCCTGAAGAATACATCAAAGTCTTTTATTATTTATATATATATATATATATATATATATATATATATATATATGTGTGTGTGTGTGTGTGTTGCTGTTGTTGGATTGTTGTTTCTACCTCATTAAATATGGTCTTGAACAATTTTTTTGGTAAATAACAGCTATATTGCGTTTTTACATATCTACGCCATTTTGTGCTTTATATTTGATAACGTGCAGTATGATGCAATATCTCGTGTCCAACAGAGTTGACAGAGCACACGATACTAATGTCTAATACCTTTAGAACCTTTAAACCAATTTCCGATTAATATTTAGCAAAAATGACCAACACGCGAGTAAACTATGAATTTCCGGTGCTAAGCTAGTAAATTCCCTTGAACAAAAACAACCAAAAAAAGAAAAAAAAATGAGAGTACAACACTACTTTGTGTCATTTAACAATACTGCCTTACATTTCCAATAAGGGAGAACCTCGTTCGTGGATAAAACGCAGTGCATCCGGTTCAAGTGAGACAATAGCCTGGACCCTTTTATGATTATACTTCAGTGCCTCAGAAGCGCCAGCCAAAAAGTTTGGATGTACTCTGCTCGTAAGCTAGTTCACTAGTTCACCTGCTAGCAACACCGAAGGTTTTAGTTTGCTCATTTTTCTAAAAGTTTCTTTTGCAAATCTGAGAGAACACTTCGTTGTCGGTAAGAACTAATTTTCTGGGCTAGACTTAATAACTACCCGAAATCTATGTGCGTGTTCTAATTTTTTCACCTAAGTCTTAATCTTGATTGCGTTTCAACTGATTACAGCTTTGAGTTGGATCAAGCTTTAGACCACCAAATGAATTTTGTTCCCTCGAGCTCCACCATGCTGCTCTTTGTACTTTTCTCGACGACAAATCTTTTAACAAATGCAGCCCCGTTAGACTGCCACAACGACACTGGAAGCTCCCAGAAAGAAATACTGCTACAACTTTCTGAAATTCAAAGTCAAGTGAATATTCTCAGGGGAAACGGAACATCAGTGAAAGGTAAGTAGATATAGAAATTACATACACCTCCTGATTCTAAACATTCGCGCCAGTGAAGAGAAACTTGTGACATCAAACAAATTATTATTCCAACAATCAGTACATTTCGATAGTCATGGTGAAGTTTGTTTATTAAGGCGCTGGTTTATTGAAATGATCATATTTTTTGGGCGACTTAACAGAAATCAGAAATACTTAGAAGTCTTCATTCTTAAGGTATACAAATATGTACAATTCAGTTGACGGAAATTGCATATTTTTGCCCTGTCAGCTAGGAACTGTGCTGACGTGCACAAGTTTGGTGGAAGAATCAGCAATGTCTACACAATCGACCCTCATGATGGTTTAGGCGCCTTTGACGTGTTTTGCGACCAGACCACAGCTGGTGGAGGATGGACTGTACTTCAGAAGAGACTTAATGGCTCCATGGATTTCAATCGCACCTGGGAAGAGTATAAACATGGTTTCGGAAATTTCTTCACTCAAGAATTTTGGCTCGGACTGGACAAAATCCACCGTTTGACAAGAAACGGGACGGGAAATAGACTTCGAGTAGAACTGGGAGTAACTAATGAAGAGCTTGTTTACGCTGAGTATGGACTGTTTGTCATCGGAAACGAGAATACTTCCTACCGGCTGAACAACCTTTCAGGTGAGCTAGTCAGATTGCTTCGTTTAGCTTATCCTCATTTTCCTCATCAGTAATTATTGTCCTTATTTCTTTACCTTTAAGCTCCTCTTTATTTATCATCGCTCTGCTAAGTAATCTTTCCTATGTTATCTTATTTAAATCAAAATTTTCCCTAAGAAACTGCATTGAATATGAGTTTCGTGCAAGGCATGTACGTGCTCCTGTCGCACGAATGAATCAGGTAAATAAATTTTCTCATGGTAACCCTTTTGCTACTTGGTGCCAAAACCTGAATATGTTAAAGTTGAATGTTAACAGAAGTCATATTTTTCTTCAAGTTTTTAGTTTTCTTGAGATAAAATTTACCACGTTTTGTATGCAAAATATCTCTCAGTGTTTTAATCAAACTTAAAAACAACGAACGTAAAACTTAAAGCCTTAAAAAGAAGTTGATTTATTCATTAAAATTTCCCTCGTTTTTCAACAGGTGCAACGGAGAATGATCCTCTTGGTTACCATAGGAACTTCTCCTTTGGCACTTGGGATAGAGACCCTGCTAATGGCAAGTGCGATGCATACGGGAGACTTGGAGGAGGCTGGTGGTACGGTGAAATATGCGTGGTAAATTCAAACCTCAACGGTCTTTACCCAAGCCGTGGAACTAAAACTCCTATGGGCGACATTACATGGGCAAAATTAGGAAGCACTGCTAAGGCAAGCACTCCTGCAACCACTGAAATGAAAATCAGACCGGTGGGCTATAATTAGTGTTCTCTTACCAATGATTCCCTCAAATACTACCTGACGTGAACACTCTATTACAAAAAGTTAAAGAAAAATTGATTGATACGTTGTTTCGTCAGGAGGATTGTACGAGAATGAACTAAGATCGGATTTTTTTTCTAAAACTAAAACCAAGACGTAGTTTAAGTAACAGCAGGGAAATATATCTACGAAATACACCCTAATTAACTGAATTCGAATACTAGTTAGTTTAATGAGCCACACGTATACACTAAAACAGAAGTAACAATATAGTATTATGTACTCGCAACCGCTAGATTTCAATAAACAATTCTGTATTATGTTGAACACTCATGTGTTGCGATTAAAAGAGCTTAATTTTGCTACTTTGCTGAAGTTGTTGTCCATCATTTCCACTTGTTTTTCACCCGACAAGCTTCTCGGTCACTCGTCCTTAAAGGGAGCGTGCGCCCAAAAGTTATGTATATTTGTTATTGGATATTTTCTATAGAGAAACTGTGCCTTTTAGGTAAGAAGATAAACTCTGGCAAACTTATCGTCACGCCTTTACAGCGAAACCCAGTTCCATTGACAAAAACTTGCCTTTTACCCTGTAGAAGGTTCTAAACTTGAATTTTTTTTGGCTTGTTTGTTTGTTTCTAATCTGCGCGGCCTCTCCAAAATGCAATTTTGGTTTGGCTCTTCAGACGACGATTTGGATGCTTCAAGCGGGAAAAAGAGGGTCTAGGTCAGAGGCTGACACGTATAAATCTTTATTGTTATTCTATCGGTTTCAATCGCTTGCGATTCTTCCTTGAAAGAGATTTTACTCAGTATAACTTTGCGTGCTACTTCCTGTGTGTGGTGGATTGCGGTTGAAATGTAGATACTGAGTTTAATTATAGCTACCAATCTCCGGTCCTGAATCTATTATCCTCAGTGCCTGTTGCTTTCCTTGGGTATTGATAAGTCAGGATTGGTCAAAATCATTTTAAAAGTAAAATGTCATTTTTAGAATCTCTTTACAGTGGCAAATTTACATTCTAAAACTCAGTTGATGAAACCAAATCACTGATGCAGTACAACATACTCCTCTCTTCTTGGTTCAAGGTTCATTTAAGATGGTATGAAGATGAAAAGCAGGTTTGATTAGAGCTCACTGTCCTTGTTGCCTTGGATCTTAAAGACCTACCTCTTAGATAAAGCACGAAACTTGCTGTTCGACAATAGCTAGTTCCTCAATAGAAGCACCCTTTACTGGCGCAAGCATTCCTTTATTTACACTTTCAAAATGGGAAATGGTTTTTCAGTCCAAACATCGAATAATTTTTAAAACGTTGATAAGATTTAAACTTAAACAAGAGTAGATTCATCACCGTTCTGCTTTAGCCATAAGATAATTTGCCATTTCATTTTACAGCATCACAAAACGATAATCCATCAGCGTCCAAAGAAAGTAAGCGGGTCTTCAGTGAGATAATTTCTTTAGAAAAACGTGACTGAAGAAAATAAAAAAGAAACCAATTATATGAACGACGTGATGGTTGGCATGCATTGAGCAGGAGACTGATTCCCGAAAGAAGACGGAAACAGTGAAAATCTTTCGAGAAAGAAATGTGCGTCGAGGTCCGCTTTATCGATTGTGAACATTGAGTCTTGCGTGATTATGATCGAGAGGATTGATGGCATTTCCTGAGAAGAGTGAACAATTATTATCTTTTTCGCCAATTTTCTTAGTAGAAATCGAGTCTCAGGATTTGGATTTAAGAAAGTCCTTGACATTTCGTATTTGTGGTCGTTTCATCTCTCGCTGAAATTCCGAGACTCTTGAGGGAGCCTCCTTGGGATTTCGTCAAAGAAGCGGAAAAACGGAAAAGGCTTGGTAGAAGAAAATTTGAATCTCTTGCTAACCATTAAGAGTCAATTTCAATCGCAGTGTTGAGCTGCTGATTGAGAATTGTAACGATTCAGCTGCTACACTTCATCGCCTGACGAAGAAGAAAAAACAATGAGAAAGTTAACAAGATTTGAAATCATCACGATTGACATTATATATTCCAATTAATTGTAATAATTGAATTAAATGAGGAGAAAAATAAAAATGATAAAATGAGGAATACATAACTGCACGTGATGTTTGAAATGCATGAAGAAAACAGCTTTATTAGTTATTGCTTCCACTAATCCGTAGAAACAAAGGCACTACGTGCAGCCTTGTAAGCTCTTGAATCAAAAGACTTGTGAAAGGACTACAAAATAATCGGACTAACGCAAACAATTCACAAAAAAGTTCACAACACAGCCCTTTTATGAGACGATATTCAGTTTTAAGAATCTGACAGCTAGACAAGACAGTCAAATCAGGAAACGCATAGAGAGGACTAAACAATTTTGACTTGATTACGTGGCGTAATTTGATTAGATAACGAAACATGGGTTGTGCATCGAAGACAAACCTTATTAACCATAAAAATAGCCGTAGTAGGTTATCAAGTCTCTTATCCAATGGACGGTCAAAACATTTCTCAAGAATATAGTTGGATCAAACGACAGTCTCGAAAATAGGCAGTCTATTGTGAGCATGGCAGATTAACCTCGTGTTAACACTATCGCTTTGCGACTCATAGCTACTAACCATTGATAATCAATTGCGTGTTCGTCTAAATTCCTCGAAACAAATTAATCGTTGTTAGTATCATATGAAAAACATCGTTACACGTGTACCAACCAGGTAATACGAGATAATCTAATTTTCATTAAATTGGATTATATCCCATAGTCTAATGGCACCGAGATTATTTACACGTAGGTAGGGAGGAATAGTTTTTAAAGTAGCCCACACCCACCCCAGCACGAGGTATCATAGTATCAGAGTTTTATTTTATTTTATTGAAATATTTCTAATTTTTGCAACTTCCACAACCACCTGATTCAACTTATCTGTTTGTACACAGGTACACTCTTAGGAACTTATTTCACAGGTTTACGTGAGCGTAAGAGCCAACTAATCTCGGAAGATCAAATCTTACTTTGAAACCTTCCCTAAAAACTGTCACAGGACTCATTCACGTGAACAGTATTGTGGTTTATATTTTCCCTTAAACGAGGACTTAGTGATGGTTTAAAGCAAGGCCAGTAGTGAAAGCGAATTCAAAGACAATGTTGACAGACGGAAGCTAGTTATGGAGAATCAAGCCCTAATTCCGTTCATGCACATGGACAAATAAACACGGAGTGGTCTCTCAGATGTGCAGAAGAAACGTGTTTCTAGTGTTTCTTAAACATGAAAGCGATCTTCGTAGTGATAAACAGTACTTGAGCGGTTGTCAAATCCCACACAGGCCGGAATTTTTTTCAGGCCTTATTTTTACTACCACTCAAGTAGAGGTCAAGCTGTATGAATAAACTTTTGTGATTGAACTAATTTAAGATAAAGTGCGCCTTTTAGGTAAGATGATTAACTATCACAGACCTATCGCTACGAATTTACAACGAAAGTAATTCCCTGCATTCTGGCCAATAGAATGTTCTAAACTAGGACATCTCAATACTATCTGACCATTCTTCCTTTTTTGTGAAATTGCGCTGTCTCTTCAAAAAATTTCACTGGTTTGTTTCTCTAGAAAACGATTTTAATTATTCGTGGAGGGCAAAACAGGGTCGAAGCCAGAGGCAGGCAAATAATATTTATCATTACTCTGTCGAACTTCATCGATTACGATTCTTCCTCGAAATTGATCGTAAAGAGCTTTACTCTGAGTATTTTTGCGTGCCACGTCCTGTCTGTAGTAAATTGAATTAAACCATGGATTTGGTCTGTTAATCCGAATTTAACGTCTTCTGTTCGTGATGCTTTCCTTGGGTATTTTTAGGTCAGGATTGTTTGCAAAGAATTTATCAGTTTTATTTAAGAGTGTAAGGTTATTATATGACAAATTAACATATAATTCTTAAGAGATCGCTTCCATTGTACAGGAAAAGCGTTCACGAAAGAGGTCATATCATGGCATCACCTAGCTACTTTTAGTTAATAGTTTTCACTGCAAACGATGAACGAGAAAATTCTAATTAATTATCGTTTGCGTCTTAGCACCTGTCTTGAATAAGATGAAATATTTACATTGCAGGAGAACCAGGTCTTTGGCTCCATCATCGTAATTTGATTTTGTTAAAACCGTCGAGTTGATGATGTAAATCGGCGCCCGTGGATAGAATTCAAAGCTAACGTTTCAAGTGTTTACGTGCATTAGAGCAAATCCACTCCACAAACTAAGGGCTTGCTATACCTCTCGAAACGTTTCCCTTAGATCCCTTTATGGAGGCCACTTTACAGGACCTTGTGTTTAGCCTCTTAGGGGTTGGACAAAACTTTTCGACTGTCACGTTCTCGACTGCGATTGTTGGTCAAACCAAAATGCTACACTAGGACAGTTACTTCATTCACGTGCCGTGTAATTTAATGAATCTGAATGAGCTGTCCTGGCGTAGCGTTTTGGTCGGTTCAACGGCTTCACCTCGATTGACCAACAATCGCAGTCGAGAACACAACAATCAGTGTTTAATGGAAGAGAAAAGTTCATATGAAAGGGGCTCTCGGGTACCATTTGCAAAGTAAGAGGAAGGAGAAAACCAAATCATCCTGAACGACGCAACTAAGTGGCATACATCGAAATCAGGAGATCGATTCACGGAGGAAATCAAAGGTAGTAACAATGTTTAAAAAAAACGGCAGCTTAGAGTTCGTTTATATCTGTTTTGAACATGTAGCCTTGCGTGATTATGATCGAGATAATTCTTGGCATTTCCTTAGACGAACAGAAAGATATTATGCTTGGTCGTCTTTATTGCTCTTCAAAATTGAATGTCAGGATTTACATTTAAGACATTCCTTGACATTTGCGAAAAAAAAAAAAGAACAAAAAGGGCCCCTTCATCGTGCTGATATAGCTTCTATCTAATGATCCTTGTCCGAACCTCTTTGAGACCAAGAATATCGATCAGATTTCTTTAAAATCCTGAAATAT